TACCTCATTACCAAAGATTCCAGATAATATACCAACTTTTAAATGCATTAGACAGAAATCCTTCTAAAGTGCATAATATAACTTCTTAATCAGAACATATGCCATAGAATGTTCTCTTTTGATTTTTTTCTCTGCTCAGTTTTTCCTGTTATCTTTCCTGCTCATCGCTGCCAACAGCCTCAACTCACTTCTGTACCAAATCCTTCTCTCTCTCAGCGTGATGCTTCTAGTGCTCTTTGTGAACAGGTTAATGAGGTCAGTGAAACTGTGTGTAAACTGAGGGTGAGAACTGGGTGAGACCAAGGGCTCTGCTGTGAGGGTAACACAGGAGCTTCTGTGCCTGAACTTTCTTTTGTCCCAATCAGAGTTCATTCTGGCTTACTTTTTTATTGTAATTGCAGGGAAGATATCTTCGTTTTGGAGAGCTCAGGGGGTACTGTGTGCTTTAGGTGCTCTGAGTCAGGCCCCATGAAGTTCAGGAAGGAGGAGGAGTAAACCCACACTCTCTAGAGCAGGGGTCATGCCCTGTGGTCCTGGGGTCCAGCCCAATGCCTGACAACATCAAGGTGCTCAATTAATGTTTTCTAATGAATGCTGTCCTTTCTGTAGTCACCTTAATGCAGGCTTTGAAGTTTGCCTTGCAGTTATTCCCTTTGTTTGCATTTCCCTCTGCCCCTCTCTCTTCTCTGAGAAATCTTCTCTCCCCCTTAGATCATGTCCATTTTATCTGCAATGTGTTGTGATGTCTTTCAAGTAGCTCTTAGGTGTAAAACAGACAGAATATTACTCCCATGAAAATATACATTAAAAACCCTCTTTTAACTCCAAAATAAGTCGGACAGAGAAAGACAAATACCGTATGATTTCACTTATATGTTGAATGTAAAAAACAGAAACAAACAAACAAAATAGACTCAGAGATGCGGAGAACAGACTGATGGTTGCCAGAGGGGCGGGGAGTTGGGGAACTGGTGAAAAATGTGAAGGTGTTAGGAAGCACAGATTGGTAGTTACCACATAGTCACGGGATGTAAAGTATAGCATAGTGAGTACAGTAAAAAATACTGTAATAACCACGCACAGTGCCAGGTCAGAACATGAAATATCAGGGAGATAATTTTGCAAAGGACATGATTATCTGACCACTATGCTGTACACCTGAAACTAATACAAAATAGTATTGAATGTTGACTGTAATTGAAAAATAACATAAAAATGCAAATGGTAATGTTAATCAGATATAAAAATAGCAAAAAATAAAAGCTATTTTAAAACCTTCCCCCCAAACCTTTCTGTTAGAAACACTTTTATTTTTATTTATTCTTTTGAAACATTTTTACTTTTAGAAGAAGTGACTCATAGGTCAAAATTAAACTCTAGTAGAATTAAAGTGATAAAAAATGGAATGGTTCATACATTTCTGGTACAAAATCTATTTGGAAGGCAATTAGAAAACACAGATCAAGGACCTTAAAAATGTTCATACTCCTTGGTCCACTAATGCCACTTCTAAGAATGTGTCTAAGGAAAATGACCTTTTCACACGAAGATTTGTGTTACAGAGTGTTTATTGCATAGAGGGTACAACCCTACATGCTCTTACCCCTTGACTGCTACAGCGCCCCCTCTGTTGGGAGGACTGCAGGGAGCAATTCCCAGGCTCAGAGGGAGATTCTTTTCAGCGAGTTAACAGTCTCTGTAAATTATGCGAGTCTGGGAATATTACCTTTGGTCTCTTTCATTTTCTCTTCAGATTAAAGAAAAAGAAAAAAGGTATAGTCTGTTTAGATAGACAGAGGGAAAATAGGGAAAAATAAACAGAAAAATTTACTTTCCTCTTCTCAGACTTTTCTTTTTTGGAGTCTCAGACACAGAACAGATTTTTAAGTATTAAGGTCTTGTTACATAATATTTTTAATGAATACTCTTTTGCAGATGGTTTCAAAGACTGTAACACAGACGTGGTGGCTATTTACTGAATTACTTTAAAGATATATACAACCAGGGTTGTGGGCTATATTTTAAAATTTTGGTAACATTCTTTATTGCTTACAGTTATATTTCTTCTTAAGTCAAGGTAATTTGGTTTAGACTACAACAGCACTTATTTGCATGACTGTTATAGGTACATTCCCCAAGAATTTTGCTTTCCGGGAACTAACCAAACATGCATTTTCCTTTCCTCTTTTCTTTAAACAATGAAAATTATTTTTCACTGTTTTCCCGACCAGTTCTCCTGTACGACTCCTCTTCTCGCTGGTCCCCCTTCCCTCTTTTGCACTGTTTGTCGTAACCGGCAAATACGTAACTGTGTGTCTATCTCTTTAAGGCCCGTCTCTCTCCCCAGGCAGCAGGGGCGATGTCTGCTTCACACTCTCCACCCGCAGCCCAGTACACAGTGGGCACTTATCAAACACTGCCCAACAAATAGGTAAACAGACAAATTTGCTTTTGGAAAAAATGATGAGACTTCTTAACAGTGTGGACATTTGATCTTTGCTGCTGATGTTACCTTTAGGTCAGCAGAAGGTTTTATGACAGTTCAAAGAGCGTAAGTGGTAAGTGATTTAAACCTCAGACTGAATGCATGTAAATAAATACAAGTTCGGCTTGCTGTCACCTACGAATTGTATCCTTCTGAGATACAGACTTTTGTTTTGAACTTCGGAAAGGGACTGACTCCTGCTAAGAAGAATGCAAAAGATTTTGTTACAGTAGAAAGTCAAAACCAACTACCACATCACCCCCCGATAGCAGCAAAGAAAAAAAAATCTCCAAAGTAAACCTTTACAGGAACTATAGAAAATAATATTAATAGAGTATAAGTTTTGTTAGTATATCGACACTCCATCAATGGCATTTTTCTCATTGACTTCTAAAAAACAAACACAAGATATAATTCTTTAATTCTATAGGTTCTCTGTATTGTTACAGATTGGTTAAATCTTTTTTTTCAAAAATGAGTTAGACATTATATTTTTTCTTGCTTTCTAAATCTTGTCTCACTGTTTAAATGAATTAGGATGAGGGAGAAACAAATAGAACAAACCAAAGTTTATGGAGAAAGTATGTGTGTGAACTTTATTTCATCATGAGAAAATCACTTCTGTGCAGTAACAGAGAATACTGATATCTACACGATGATAAGGTTGTCTTTGTATTTAGATACATACCTTATATTTGTATACAATATATAAAATTCATGGAGGAAATTGTTTTCTACAGTACAGTTTCTTGGTTGAAAGAGGACTTGTTCCATTAGTTTCTTTTAGGAAATGACCCCAGTTCTGTGACTGTGGTACCAAGGATCGCAGTTCCAATATTGTAATTTATTAGACACCATAATCTTATGAACATTAAGTGAAAGCTAGAAACTACATCCTCCTGCAGGATGAGAAGAGAGACGTAAGTGCTCAGGCTGCTATGCTAATAACTGATGTTAGCAGAATAGTATGATTTCTACAGATGAATAGAAGTAGTTTTCCCGTAAGTCTGATGACGTGTATTAGTAACATTGCCTCAAACGGTCTCCCTGCTCCGACGGCATGCACCTCACCCTTCAGTCCAACACCCTGTACACACAGGGGAACCAGGCCATCACCATGAGGGCCTTCTGCGCTGTGTCCGAGAACCCCTGCAGGGCTTTAGCACTTGGCATGGTACCTTGGGACAGGAGGCAACTGCTCTCACCCCAAAGAGAAGTTGCTAAAACAATCATTCCAGGGGGGGCTCTAGCTGCCACATCCCTGTAACCCAAATGGAAACAGAGCGTGTGGGCATTTTTCCTTCAATAAGTCCTTCTTTTTGAATAGCATCCCTCACAGAATTACGACTGCTCCCCACGCATGGTTTTCACGGCCAGGGGCCTGTCAACCTTGCTGTGAGATTGGAAGTTGTGCTTGTTTTTAACCATGTGAACCATTTTAGGGGTGACTGGCACAGGCTGAGGCTTGAGGGAAGTGGGGGGGGGAACACCACCCAAGTTCTGTTAGCTAACATCTTGAATTTGACCCAAATCAGCATAATTAGTTCTGCAGAAGGAAGCTATGGAGAATGCCAGTGGTACTGGGGGCGTCTTCTATAATTAAAATCATACCCAGAAGCTCTGGAAATGCTTTGGCACCAACCAAAAATACCTCTTCATAGTTTTAATTTCATGTGTCACAATCGCTTTTAAAATGAAATGTTAAAAGCCTCAGAGGTGATACCTGGCCATCACATTCAAGCTTCTCTTCTGAGATGGATGGCTTGCCTTTGATGACCACAATATTTACAGTATAGCCAAGAAGCAAAAGTTCTCTAGAGATTGACCTTTCATGGTGGCCCGAGGCAGCCTAACCAAGCCTAGAGGGACTGGCAAGGATGAAAAAGGCGAGGTAACGTGGAGTTGCTGGTCTCTTCCTGTCTGGCGCCCATAGGGACCCTCGGTCCTGATGCTGCTGGCCTGGGCTCTGGGTGTGCAATGGAAGCGGTCCATGCTGGTTAAGTCAGGAGTGGCCGACAGGCCCTCTCGGAACAGCTCTAGCACCCTGCGCCCCTTAGAAACACGGTCAGTCAGACAAATCCACAGCTGGGAAGAACCTCGGCCCCGCCCTCAGGAACAAACAAGCACTAAAAGGCAATTTAAAATCATCTGGACAAATGATGTGGATCATGGAGAATGGGAGCCTGCCTAGAGCCTACACACATTGGTCTCACAAACCAGGGGGCATTTAGGCCTTCGTTTTTCAGCTTCTTCAACTGCAGCTTATTTAGAGTGTTACCAAAAGGAAGCCAACGGCCCAAGCCATTTGAACTGCCACTGTGGACTCTTTGGCTTGATACATCCACATACCATGGGCTCTCTAGCGGCGGGAGAGGAACAGCGGCCTGTGCCAGAGTGCAGAGCAAGTCATGGAAACACTTCAGAGTGTGGGCAGTGGTGGGGTTACCTCCGGCTCGCCAGCCATGTTAGACGCCGCGCAGCTCTCGCTCTGAGGGGTACTGCTGAAGGGCCTTACCCTCAGACGTTTGGAGGACCAGGGTCTTGCTGTACTGGCTGACTCCTGTTTTGTTGAAGGCCTTGATGCGAGCATTGTATGTGCTGTTGAAGTGAAGACCATCCACGGTGCACATTGTCTCCTTTCCAACATACACTTCCTGAGGGTCAACAAATAACAGGCCACCATTTAACGAGAGCCCTTGTGAGGAGTTAGGGAGGCAGTGTTGCCCAGGGGTTAGGAGCAAGTGCTTTGGCATCAGCCTGATCTGGACTCGAATCCTGTGAGATATTGGGCCATTTAATTGACTTCTTTTAGCCTTAGTTTCCTCATCTGTGAGGTGGGTATAGTAATACCGACCTTATGAGGTTGGTGTGAGGATTATACAAGGTCATATGAGAAAATTGACTAAAATTTGTATTGTAGGGCTCTGGCTGGTATAGCTCAGTGGATTGAGGGTGGGCCTGTGAACCAGACAATCGTGGTTCAATTCCCAGTCAGGGCACATGCCTGGGTTGCAGGCCGGTTCCCTGCAGGCCAGTTCCCAGCAGGGGACGCACAAAAGGCAACCATACATTGATGTTTCTCTCCTTCACTTCCCCTCTAAAGATAAATAAATAAAATCTTTAAAAAAATTTGTATTGTATTTAGTGCCATGTATTTAGCATGGGCATGGCAGCTTAATGAATGGGAGTTATTAGCAGCTAGGGCTTAAAAAATTAAAACTGGGTGTTATAAGCAGCATTATACTTATCAACAGGGCATTTATACAGTGTGTTATACCTATGAGCTCTTTATCAGTGTGGTTTGTGAAAAACAGGCTTGAAAACATGAGGGTGGTCTCTATGCTGTGTTACAACTCCACTAATGACTTCTGGAACTGTTACAAAGACTATACACTCAAAGCCACAGGACTATAGGTTTTCATCATAGTACAAACAGGGAAGGGGGGGCAAACAGGGAAGGGAGGAAGAATGACATTTCAAAGGCTTAAAATAAATCCTAGCATAATGCATCTTTAGCACAGGTTAGGCATTTACCTCCCTCTTTAGCTGTTCATTTTGCAACATTATGCTGATGTAATGAGTAAAAATAATTTGTATTTAAAGCACAGCCTTAAAATGACGACTCTTCAGTGGGACACTAAGAAGTTGGAATCTGGGATGGCAGCGTGCTAAGAATTTTGTGTGGATTATCTGAATGACTCTTAACCATCTGTGAGATACAGGTTGTCGTTATCACTCCCACTTTACAGCTGAGGGTGTGAAGGCTCAGAGGGATGAGAATGGGCACAGTCCCATAGCTAGGTGGTGGAGTCTGGAGCTCAATGCAGGCATTCTGACTCCAGAGCTTGTAGTGCTGCACATACTTTCTCTTAAGGAGGGTCGTTTCTATTCAGAGACTCCTTCATCCACCTTTGATATGGTACAAGGGCAGGCAGGCCCTGCTGGGATGGTCTGCTGAAGGAGAGGTGGTATAGGTGGGCCTGAGACTCCACGGTGGGTCCTCTGAGTTGTCACTGGTTTTGGTCAACAGGGAGTAGGCGCTCGGCTTACCCGGAACTGACCACCATTGCCGTCGTCCAGCTCCAGAATGTATCCTTCAGCGGGCACCGTGGACAGAGGTGGCTGCTTCCAAGACAGCGTAGCGCTGTTGTTGTGGGTGCAACACTCCTCCAGCTGTAGGATGGGAGTTGCTGGGACTGGAGAGGAAGCTAAAAGGAAATTAGTGTAACTCTGGCTTCTGCTGAGTTGCAAACATTTCAGTATCTTGGAATGATAAACATTCCTTGGACAGACACGTGACTAGGTAGCGAGCCGCAGAGTGCTAGTCTCCAGGGGTGGAACTGCTTCCTGACCTGCTGCCTTTTCCCAAGTCCAAGGTGGTACTACCTACCCACCTTAATTAAAGGGGAGACAAGTGCTCTGTTCTCATTCCATAGAGCATCAAAGACATTACACCTAAGGAAATGTTTTACATGGGGGATAGATTTCCAGTCCAGGCCAGTAAAGCCTATTTAACCCATACCATAGCTGAGAAATTTATCATACAATTTATCATACAACTTATCTGGAGCCCTAAACCCCAAGTTTATAAACTTGGAATTGTGTATTCTGAGAAATATCTCTGAAACCACTATATTTCTAAGGTTCTTTTTTTTTTTTTAAAATCAGTGATTATACTCAAGGCCTTGTGCATATAAGTAGCTAAGAGGGTATAGTTTTGAAAATTCAGTATCATTGACACAAACAGTGATTTCTCAGTTTTGAAACTTCTGAGGAACTTGACATCACTCTTTCAAGGTAGCTATACCTTGTAAACAGCACTAGCTCAAGTCCATTATTTCTGCAGGTATAGAACAGTCAACTGTGAGCCTACAGAGTAGTATGGGAGCAGATAGGGCCTGGCAGGGAGGGTCAATGTGTCCTCATGACCTTGTGAGAATCTGTCAAGTGTCTCTAGTCACAATGTAACCCTGTCTCCATTTTGTGCTGCGTCTTCATGCTACGTAAAACTGCAGATTAGTTGAGCCTTCAGACACATAGACAGAGAAATGTTAGGTAATGAAGAATCCAAGTTCCTAACATATAAACTTAATGTGTGTATCTGGGAACAATGTTTTTAGCAACTGCTTAGAATTTTTTCAGCACCAAAATGTCCATTTATTTTTGTAGCATGTTAGCAACAGGAGAGAACAGTTTGGATCACATCCAGGGACATTAAGATAAACAAATGCTAATTGTGGGACACCTGGTATGCTGTACCAAAACTGGACTCCGAATGTCATGCATTGAATTAAGAGCCTGCTCCTTGCCAGCCACCCCAACCACGAAGATGGTTAATGTCACAGTGGTGTAGGGGACAGGTTCTCTGGTAGATAACCTAGAAAACCAAAGCAGTGACTATATTACGAGAGATGTGAAGGTGAAGCAGGTCAATTATACTTAAGAAAAAAATGTGATATAAGAAAAGCATGCCCGAGTCACTAGATCAAACATCATTAAATTAAAATTATGACCAGTTATTTGAGCCAATCAGTTTAGGAAGAGACATCATGTTTCAAGTGTCAGTGACATAGAGTTCAGGTGGCATTTTATCAGAGAATAATGGTTCCTGTAGCCTCAGAAGTCCCAGAACATCTGGATGTGGAGGAAAGGAGATGCAGCCACTGCCTCGTTCAACAGACAGGCTGCAAGGACTGGACGGAGGAAGGAAGAGCGAGAAGACATAACTTCCTCTGATGATCCCAATGACCATCTACACACAAATGGATATCACCTAGGAGCTGTAATTACAGGGTTAACACTGGGTCATTATACATGTTAGGAACTTACTTTGCTTTTTTATTTAAACATTTTTCATGATAAAAAGAATACCTTGTAACATATTAACTATGGAGTAAATATGACAAGTTTAAGCAAACCATTCTTCAAAGGGCTTCTAATGACATGGGATGATTCTCCCTTGGGATATTTTCTCTTAACTGGCCTTATTAGTTAGAGCTACCATAAAGCAACAATTCCCAGGACTCTGCTTTATTAGCTCCCCTATTAGTCTTCATTTTCCCTTTGTTCATGTTTCAAGAAGGTCTGTATTTCATCAATTTTAAAATCAAAGAATAAGAGCACAGTAAGAAACCAGTAGGATTGTTTCAACCTGAATCATACACATGCTTTCCATGTCTCTGATAAGAAACTCAAATTTCCCTGTATAGATGTAGGTATAATTAAGAGGTTAATTTAAACACATGGTGTCATGTATAATTAAAACATGTGAACTTCATTTGTAAATCCTCAGCGGATACACTTTAAAAGTCTAAAAGGATAAAAAAAAGTCTAACCACTCACTAATCTTCAGATCTTAATATTGTTCCAGGTTTAAACAAATAAGCAAATAAGAAAAGGAAACGGGGGGAGAAGAAGAGGGAGAGGGAGGTGGGGGGAGAGAGAGACACACACACACTAAGTGAAGGAACCTAGACATATTTGCATGTCTAAATCTCTTTCTCAATGTACTCAGAATAATTTTTTCTTTTTCATTATTTACCCCAAAAGTGATGTTGCATGTAAAATGCAAATACGACACCATTAAGGCTGACATTTTAGAAAGACACATTTTATAGTGGGTATTATATTACCCCACTTCACTTTATTAGGTAGAAAATAAATGGTCTACAAGAATCCAAAGTATTTCCAAATTAATTTACCTTTTGTGTTTTGGAAATGGAGAGCATCACAATTCCTGGGCTGAACTACAAGAAAAAATGTTGTATTTTACTGAAACGCCTGTCACTGATGCTGCCATAGCTGTTAATAGTGACACTGTTATGATCATTCCTAGACATTGTTGTCTTTTCCCAAAGAACTAATTTCTCCTAGCTGATCAAAATTCTAGTATGTGGCATTCTTTTAGTCCATAAAAATCAAGCTTCAGGCTAAAAGAAGCTTTGAAGAAGCTGCTCTTAGACAGGAAGGGGCAGCTGTTCTTAACAACTTCCTCGAAGGGGACTGGGGGAACTATGGTTCAAAATTAAGTTTTGCAACAGTGCCTTTTAATACAAAAGTTTTCAAATGTTCTAACTTTTTAAATGCTATTCTGGTTCAAATTACATCTCAGATTCTTGGTACTCATTTGATCTTCCCCCTAATCCTGCAGGTAGTGAACAGTCCCAGCCACCCAGGATTCCTATGTCTTAGGTAACAGGACATGTGAGGAAGGGAAGTTGACCATCCACTCTCAACATGAAAAAATAATGATAGCTGATGCCTTTGAGCACTTCCTGAGTGCATGACAGGGTGATGAAGAGTTTTACATGCATTCACTCATTTAGTTTTCATAACAAACTCACAATAGCTGGAACTGTTATCATCTCAATGTTGTAGATGAGGAAACTGAAGCACAGAAAAGTTTCATGGCTAGTCAGTGGCAGAGTGGCTTTAAAGCCAAGCTTACACTGCATTATACTGCCTGTCTAGTCTGCTGTTTAGTAATAGTGCACTCGAGGGGCATCCCCACAGCTAATTCCAAGGGGAGTGTTTGTTTTTGGTTTCTATATGGGAATGATAAAGCTTCCCAAGTATTGATGGTATATATTAATGAAAGATTTCACCCTGGGAGCTATGGTGGTTGGGAATATGATTTTCCTGAGTTGCCTTCTCTGAAGGTTCCTTTGTGAACCGTCATTTCTGTTTATGATCACTGAACAATACAAATGGCATGTGGGGGAAGGTTAGACTTTGGAGGAATAATAAACTATTTCTGGCAAGCTGTCATTAGTATACTGTTAAGGATAACAGGTTTTGAGTGCATGTCTTTTAGGCCCCCAGACCATGAACAGATTATATGCATGAACAGATTACATGCAAGTCATTCTGTGTGCTCATCTCCATCACTGCCAAACCTCTGGGCCCACTTTCTTCATGATTTATAGGAACGTCTGCTCAGATCACACTGTCCTAGTCCATGACCTTGGTGCATACTCAGAGCTCTCACATTCAATATGAGTTAATAGAGGGAAATGTGTCTTAAGTGAGTAGAGGCACTTAAGGGGATTAATGGCCATTGGTCTATGTGCTAAACAGGCTTGGCAGAGTGTTGGGTTGCTGTTTCATCCTGGTGCAGAATGAATACGCTGGTGTTTCCTCTCAGCACCGTGACTGGGAATCCAGTCACACTGCGCAGTCAGACAATTCTGGGATAGTATTTTTCTGAGAGGGGGGTATGTATCTGAAATTTATTCGGAGCCAAGCAGCAGAGCCCTTGATGGGCTAGGAAAAGAATGTTAAAATTTTCTTCCTATAACCTGGGAAAAAGTTGACAGTACCAACTTAGAATCAAGGAAAAACAAAATGTAAGTAAGTAAGTAAATAAATAAATAATAAAAAACAAACAATAAAGTTTAGTCTGTTGTTTATTATAACAGTCTGAGAGCTCAAATGCCATGCCCAATAGTCTAGAAAGAGGGTAAGATAGATTTTCTAGTCAAAATGCAACCAGAAAACATATCATTACAATGTAGGGATGTTTGAACAAAGGAGGTACCGGCATTATCCACTAAGATTTCAGTTGCTTGGGGTGATGTGAAATCAGAAAGAACAGATTAGTTAAATCCTTAGTTAACAGAATAATTTTAGGCAGTGCATTCTCGCTCAATAGTAGCTGGACTAAGTGGAAACATGTAAAAATCAACAATGGACTATCTTCTTTGATATCAAGAAAAAAAAGTGCGGTTTTCAGTTTGGATCATAACTCCAAATGCATATTTTAAGTAATTTTGAAAGTATTTTTACCGTCTCCTATAATTCACAATTAGAAGACAATTGGAACAGTTAGAAAACATATTGAATTATACATATTGTTAGTTTCACAACGGTACGTAAATTTTGTTTTTTTATACATGGATTTTGGGGTGCAGTTTCTTGAGATATGTTTACTGATAAGTAACATGCAGTAATATGTTTACTGATAATAAACATGCAAAAGTGCAGTTTATTAAAATATGAATACCCTCAAAAGGTCTAATGCTACGTGGATACAGTTGTATATATGACTACAGATATCAGAGAAGCCAGCGGAAGTCTTCATTGTACCCAATTAAGTCCCAGGGCCTTTTCCTTCCATTGTGAGCACGTGACAGATAAAAATTATTCAGATTCTACAGAGGACTAGGCTCTCACTGAGCTAATTAAACTTAATGAGCCCAACACAAAGCATATAAATTAACTCTGCAGAGGGATACTACTCTCAGAAGTAAATTAAATTAAGATGAGGTGTTAAAAAGAAAACAAAAAGGGAATAATCCTGTCTCATAACAAATGGCCTATTTTATTACCTTCATAAATAACTGTTCTGGATAGTTTTGCATTCCAGGTGAATTTCGGCTGTGCATTCCACATGTGGGCCTTTAGCGTGCTTGGCATGCTCTGCCGTGTGTACTAACTAATGGGCCGCACACTCAGCTGTGTCCATGCTTCTTTCTGTCTAACTAGTCAAGAGACAATGCTTTAGGAATGCGGTCTGAGATGCGCAGCACGTGAACCTGAAGTTTGCATGCCGGATAAAGGGCTTGTTCACTCCAACACAATTGTTCCCATCCTACCAAGTGGCCTGGATTCCACGTTGAGCAGATGGACATGGCGCAGACTGACAGCGGATGGGGGAGGGGTGGGCTCTGCCAGCTGATGGATGCACTTCAAAGACCGGAGGCTGTTACCCTCTAACTGCCCTCCTCTCCTGCCGCACCACCAAAGCTAATTGGGTTGGCTCATTTTTTTTCTCTTCCGCAAAAGCCCTTACATTGTCCTTTTGTGGTATATTTTCTCTTTTGAGCTTCTGGGGGTGTAGCCTTTCAATGATTTTACCTCATTGAAAGAATTGGGTACAGAGAGATGTGGATGGATGGGAATTTACCTGGGCTCTATATACTACTCAGATGGCTGCATTTCACAGGCTACTGTGTAGGTCTTGGAGAAAAAATTTTAAACAGCAAGAAAGAAATGCTGCAACAAATAATTAAACTTCTTAAATTTAAGAGAGGAATTCAGCGATTCCTTGAAGAAGCCACTTAGTAAGCTGCTAACTTTATAGCACAAACTGGAAGTTGAGGTGTGGGCTCTGGAGCCATGCTCCCTGGGTTTGAATCCCAGGCCTAGCACTCACTAGCTGTGTGAGCTCAGGCAAGTAACTCAAGCTTCCTGTGCCTCAGTTTCCTCAGCTGCTGACTAGGGCTATGAGAACAAGAAGAGTTAATCGCTTAGGAGAATGTCTGACTTGGTAACTGGTCAATAAATGCTAAACATTTTTGTTACTGCAGCAAAGTATTATTTACCATCTATACACTACTTACTTCAAACACGAATTGAGGCATCATCCCAAAGCAAAACATATTAAACAAAAATTGAGAAATATAGGAGACCATTCTGCGTGATGTGGGCCCAGCTCCCACTTGGAGATGCACAGGGCCCACACCCACGCATAGGTTCTCCCATGGGGAATCAGGCCTGCATTGTACCTAGGCTGCTATGAGACTTGCTTTTGCTAAAACTCCCTCACCCTGAATTGAGGCAGAAAACATTTATTGCATATCTTTAAATTAACTTCCTAAAATCTATGCTAAACCTTCCAAGGATGAGTGTAACCAGCTCAACCACTTTTCCCTTTGCATTTGCAAATAACCTTCTTCTGTGATGTGATTAGCGGCATCCTCTCCTTTGTTTTCTGTAAAACGTAACCACCTAAAGTGAACCTCTGCATAGTAAATGAGGACCATCATATAATGTGCCCAGAAAAGCAACAAAAGCTTGTCAAGGCAGGGGCGGAGGCACTCTCCCCTTGAGAGAGTGGCCGTGTGGTCCCTTTTCCTCTACAGGACTTGGTAGTCCATGTGAATTTGTCTCATCTCATCCACAATGCAGTGGACACTGCTTGCCGGTGTCTGCATCAGAGAAAACTGAAAATAAAGGAGGGCGAAGATCCACAGATGGTGAGAAAAGCACATGCACCAGGTGCAGGGTGAGTTTAAGGGTGAGATGGGAGCTGTCAGTAGACAGCCCTAAAATGCGCTGGGTTATGTGGTTCTGTCTGCCTGATAAAGGAGGCGTGTCGATTTTTCTTATGAAACAAACTTTTTGAAGCATTTACTTCTCAACTATGTATTATGTGGATGCTTAAATTGGGAGAAGTAAAGAGCAAATCAATTTCTTAAAACACATCATAAGATGACTAAGTTCTAGAGATGGAGAACAGAATCATGGTTGCCAGGAACTGGGGAGGCTGGAGGGACAGGGTGAGGGCGTGACTCTGAGGGGTAGCCTGAGGGGGATCTCTGTGGTGATGACGTCGTTCTGTACCTCACTTGCAGTGGGGGGTTACACACCTGACAAAATGGCACATAACCAGACACGTATAATGTGCCAATGTCATTTCCTGGTTTTGACATTATATGATAGTTATGCAAGAGGTAACCATCAACAGATATTGGATACAGGCTACATGGGACCTCTTCTTACTATTGTTGCAGCTTCCTGTGAATGTATAATTTCAACATGAAAACTAAAAAAAAACCTTACCAGATATATTTTTTCAAATGGATATTACTTACAGTGCCATTAAAATATCATTGTGTGACTGGCTTGAGTTTTTATTTTGATTGGAGAGTTAATTTCTTTAAGAATTTTAAGTATTGTTACTTTTCCTCAGCCACCCCAAGATCTTGCCATATCTTTTAATCACATAAATCAAAAAGTTAATGTTTATTTTTAATTTTTATCTTCTTTCTGTACCCAGGCTTGAATCTTCCTGCCAGTACTGGTGGGCTGCTGAGCCCCTCCAGTTCCCACTAATCTGTGTTCAACCGTGTGCTCACTAACTGTATCCATGTGGAAGCAGTCATTTCAATTCTGAAGTCCTTGATTTATATCAATATTTCTGGGTTACTTTCTGTAACGGGATTATATTTAGGTACAGTAGTGCTTGTCTCTCTTCCTACTTCCCTTTTTGTCAGCTATTCTCTGATGCTGAGCCTGTGAAATCTCAAAGATTCTCAAAGTGACAAGCACTGAGTTTATCTGAATTTATTCGACTGTCGGAGAGTACGTTACACAGCTACAGGGCATGATAAGACAGGAGCCACCTCTCAGGTGATTTATGAACCTGGCAGCTGCCTTTTGTTTGCCTATATCCTGCTTTAAGCACCGGTCTCCACTGGGCTGGTGCTCTGACTGGCACAGAGGAACCTGGGCACTCACCTTTCATCTGCACGAAGTCGAGCTGGTGAATGGACTGCAGCAGAGGGCTGTTGTCCAGACTCAGGTCAAAGTCTGTGGTCATCCTGGGAGTGAGTGTGCCTTTCCCCCACTGGTCCTCAGTCAGGTGCACTCTCCTTATGAGGGCGTCAGAAATCTAATCACATCAAAGACCACAGCCTAAGAAACATGCCACCACATTGGACACAGAGCACTGCTCCTCGACTCTCCTGGAGTGCTACTGCCAACCTTCCTGTCTCTGTGCAGGTGGGAGGAGCCCGTTAGAATAAGGGAGACCCCAACTGGACACTTTTGTGTGTCTGAGGAGGTGACGTAAACAATTAATAGCTGTTAATTGCTCTAATACACAAACCTGGATGTATGATCATGTCATTTATGACTGATCAGCTAAAACCCAATAGTGTAGAGAGGCTGCATGTGATGATTTGTAAAATGGAATTTCTTACACTATAAGCCATCATCTTCCTGTTCCCCTCTGTTGTTTGGCAGAGAACGCTTTCATTTCTCACCTTTAGTCTCTGCCACGCTTGGCCAGTTTGGGAGGGAGTTGCAAGGGATCTACACATTCCTTAATAAAAGATCCCTTAATCATTGGGATTGAAACAAGTAAAATTCAGCTGACATCACAGCATCTCACTAAAACGATGAACACTGAAGAAATCATGAGACATCTGAGGAATGAAAAACTTCACTCTTTTTGGGAAAGCACCAATTTACTGGCAGTAGGGGGTGTCCAGAAGGCAGAAACCTGGCATAGTTAGATATTTCTAGCTGGCAAAACTGTCCAGGAGGTATTAGTGGGAAAGGACACAATTCTTAGGCAATAACTCTGCTTCGGGGGAACTTACATGCAATCATGTTTTCAAGATTAAACACAAGCCCTGGCTGGTGTAGCTCAGTGGATTGAGCATGGGCCTGTGAAGCAAAGGGTTGCCGGTTTGACTCCCAGTCAGGGCACATGCCTGGGTTGCAGACCAGGTCCCCAGTAGGGGACACATGAAGTAGGGGACACATGAGAGGAACCACACATTGATGTTTCTCTCCCACTCTTCCTCCTTCCCTTCCCCTCTCTCCAAAAATAAATAAATAATATTTTAAAAAAGATTAAACACAAGAACAGAAACAAACACAAGGAGGCCCATGCACTTCTCAGTCTTGTAGCACAAGGTGACAGGAAGTCAGTGAGTGGAGTTTCGCAGGCACCCGCAAACACCCAGCAGTGTGATGGTTGGTCGTGTTATGGAGGTACCCCTGTCCAGCCAGGGCTGCCGGGAGTCAGGCCTTGGTGGACTCAGTCTCCCGGGACACTGAGACTCTGAAGCAGAACCTAATTGTACGTACCTGCAGAAAGCCGCTAGGGTCATTTTCCTTAATCACCTCCAGGCAGTACTCCATGAGACCCGTGGTCTGGCGCAGTTTCACTGTGCAGTGAGAGATCTGATCTCGAACCACCTGTGAGTGATGGCAGAACAGAATGGTCCAAAATGGCAGAGTAGGAAAGAAGCAAACTGGGACTTTGGAAAGCTTCTTCAAACCAGAACCTAAGAGCACCGTGGAAGGAGACTAAATTGATGAGGCTACTTTGTGGCAATGTCCACTGTGGACAATGGCCCCAGAGGACAGGTTGGATAATGGCTCTGACAGGAACTTGTAACAACAGGACCCATCAGAAAGGCTTGCAGACTGAAATCATCTGCTTACCTTGGGACCTCAGGGGACATCTTCCACAAGTCCCCCTTGCTCCCCTCTTCTGGGAAGCTGACAATCCTTAGTGGCTGTAAGTGGGAGGTCATGGAGAGTCCTTATAGCAGCTGAGCCATCTGAGGTTCAGCTGCAGCTTCTCTGACACAGTGGCCCACTGTCTCCACCCACTGCCTGTCCCTTCTACACAGCAGACATCACTATCAGAACTCAGTTCCTTTCTCATTCTGATTCTCTTTCTTCAGGTGGGTGGTGGGGTGGGGCTAGGGGTGGAACTTGCTGAAAGACAATGAGCTAATGACAACTAATCCAGAGAAAGATGGATGCAGAATTATTTTAAGAATATAACCTGCTTAGAATCAGCTCATTTTGGAAACCAGTCTTAAAGGCTGCTCTATTCGCCAAACTGTGAGTCAGCTTTAACCCAGAAAGGCAGTTTCTGCCTCTGAGAAGTTGTCTTTGCCCAGAGTCAAGTGCATGACAGTTCCCGAAAAGCTTCTTTCTTTAGATGCTCATCTTTTGTGTCCTCTGCTCAGTGACCCAAATCTTGATGTGGTTTCTGAAGCACAGAATTGAGTAAGAGTTTTCTAGGAATCTCAATCACTCACATCCTAGATATCTTACGCTACTTTGCAAAAGCCTCAGAAACATCTGACATTACAGATTTTATAGCCAGTAACTAAAATGAGTTTTAATAATAATTCTTTAACAACTTTTCCTTGTTCCTCCTTTTCATTTTTTATTATTAATTTATTTTCCTTTGAAGATTATTATATACTTTGCAAAGCAATTGGAAAATAGTTGGGGAAAAAAGCAAATTATCTCACCTCTCTGATACAAATTTTTAAAGCCTTTGATATTTCCTTTTAGCTTTTTTCCTTGAGTTAGATTTATTTATAGTTGCAATCATAGCACACGATAATTCTACCCCTTCCCACTTATCACTCTATCATAAGGCTTTCTTCATGTTGCAACCATCAATAAATGCTATTGGCTACATAACTATCCCATTGATTGGATTATTGTAATATATTTGACCATTTCTGTTCCCTTATTTTTTGACATTTAAATTCTTCCTATTTTTGACAATTCTTTCATTCATCTTTACTGATCTTTATTTATTTTGATAAAATACAAGTAACATAAAATTTACCATTTTAACTATTTGTATTTAGACAATTCTATGGCAGTAAATGTATTCACAGTGTTGTGAAACCATTCCCACCATCCATCTCCAGAACATTTTCATGTTTTCAAATGAAAAATTTGTACCCATTAATCAACTCTATTCTCCACCACACCGACCCTCCACCCACCGCTGTTCCAGGCAAGAATCATTCTACTTTCTGACTGGATTTGACCGCTCTAAGACCCTCATGTAACTGGAGTCATTTAATACTTGTCCTTTTGTGATTGGCCTATTTCACTTAGCAAATGTCTTCAAGGTTTATCCATGTAACTTGTATCAGAATTTCCTTCTTTTTAAGACTGAAGAATATTACACTGAAAATATGTGCCACGTTTTGTTTATCCATTCATCCGATGGTGAACACTTGGGTTGCTTCCACCTTTGGAGTGTCATGAATGAAGCTGTTATGAACATGGATGTACAGATATCTGTGCGAGTCCCCATTTCACTTCTTTTGGGTATAGACTCTGGAGTGGAATTGCTGGATCATATGTGATTCTCTTCTAATTTTTTGAGAATTCATCATACTGGTTTCCACAGCAGCTGCATCATTCTACATTCCCACTGGCAATGTATAAGGGTTCCAATTTTTCCACATCCTCACCAACACTGATTATTGTGTTTCTTTTTCAAAAAAATAACAGAAGTTCTAATGGGTGTTGAGTGCTATCTCATTGTAGTTTTAATTTGCATTTCCCGAGAAAAGAGATGTTGAGCTTCTTTTCATGTGTTATTGGCCATTTGCATATTTCCCTTGGAAAAAAATGGCTATTCGAGTCCTTTCACTATTTTTTATTGGGTTGTTTATTTTTCGGTTGTCTTTTGATATATTAAATTTATAGATTTTCATAAAGTCAAATTTGTCTACTTTTTTTTTGCTGTCTGTTCCTTTGGTGTCATATCCAAGAAATTATTTTCAAATCCAGTGTTGTGGAGTGTTTTCCTTAGTCTTTGATCTATTTTCAGTTAATTTTTATATATGGTATTAGGTCCAACTTCACTCTTTTGCATGTGGGTAGCCAGTTTTCTCAGCATCATTTGTTGAAAAAATGACCTTTCCCCATTGAATGATCTTAGAACCCTTGTCAAAAGTAACTTGACTGCATATGTGAGAGTTTATTTCTAGGCTCTCTACCCAATCCCAGTGGTCTGCGTGTCTTTAATGCTGGCTTTATGCCAGTATTATACTGTTTTGATGATTGTAGCTTTGTAGTCAGTTTCATAATGAAAAAGTATCAGAATTCCAATTTTGTCCTTCTGTTTTTAGATTGTTTTGGCTATTTGAAGTCTCATAATTTTTTGACAGATGATTTGCTATTGCTTTTAAACTTTCAATGTAATTAAAATAAAAATAAAAATAAAAGTGGGACTTAAAATGTTTACTGGAATTAATGAAAGAAATCAACTTTCATGTGAAGATTTTCATTTTGTGATTTTGGTGGGGAGGGTGGAGGAAATCAAATTTAGAATTGATTCATTTTCTTCTGGCATCTAGTAGGTCTCTGTCAAACCACCACCACCACCTGTTGGTCTGTGATAAAGGAACACAAATTATTTTATTTTTTAATCAGTAAAGAAACAGGGAGGTTAAGTTTCTACTTCTTCGCCAGAAAAATACCACCCACTAGTAGAACATTTAAAAATGCCAAGACAAGTGACCTATATCTAACATGCCACTCTTCTCTGCTGTATAAGGCTCGCCTACATTGCTCCCATAAGGTGTTTCTATATTTTGGTAGCCAGCGCAACGACGCTGCCAGATGGCAGAAACCTTGGCAGTCATTATTTGCTACCCTAATGGCATCTACCGGGAATATCTGATACTAAAAGTCCAAATAACAAGCACATACCTGATGTAAGCCCAGTAACATGAAGTGAGTCTGCTTCTGAGGCAAAATAGACTAAATCGTTGCGTTCACTTTCCAGAGCATTCGGCTCAGTGATAATTTTATGGTCTAAATGTGCTGAAATAAATACAATACTCATGCTTCATGAAATTTTAAGCCTGCTTTTATAAATTTCTTTCTCAAGCAAGGTTTGTTTGGTGCCCACGGAGTTGTCTGAGTGTTGGGACTCCCTGGCTACTCGTAAGAAGCTTCACTGCTGCTCCACCAAAGATTCGGTGAGTGTCAGTGGGGTTTGCTGTGGCTCCTGCGTGCCATGGGGCAAACTTCTTGTGTGGACTCAGTCTCCCTGAGTCCCTGGCTGTCAATTTCCATTGTTACAACAATAGATTCTGGTTTATCTTTTTACATTTGAAACCAACCATTTCACCATGATCACCATAGCCTGTGATAAAAATCACTGCTAAAAATTAAGCTACAAACTTCCCAAAAGTGGCATTTTTGGGTGCATTGTAATTGACTTCTAGTTTCTGAATTAACTTAGAAAGATTCCCCATCTTATGAAAGTCAGCTAGACAGAACTTTTAAGAGTATAAATATTTTTTCTCTGAGTGTCTCTATCAGCCCTCTTACTTGCTCCCTTTCTCACTCTGTTATTTCTACCCCTTTTATCATTATTTATTTCTACATTGTCATTTGTATGAAAAACAATTCCCAGGAAGCTGCCATGTCTCTTTGTCTTTGAGTTTCACGTTTCCGTGCTGAAGCTCTGATGCTCCAGAGAAACCCCTGGCACCGCATCACAGCTGGTTGGACTCAAAAGCTCCTTTCCTTAGGAAACGTGTGAGTTGCAGGAATGACACGAACAGGGGCTGGGAACACAGTCTTCCTGCTTTCATCTGCGTTAAAGTCTAAGCCAGTTCTCCTGGGATAATGAATTAATCTGTGGCCCAAAGTTTCAGAGAAGACTTTCACCATTTTATCAGCAATCACCATCTGTTCTGGATGGCAAGTGCCTAGCAATCATTTTAACTGTTTCATTTCATTAAGTGGCAAGTTTATAAAGGAGAACCTGAGAAGGGATGGTGGTGTCCCGTTGAATGCTCAGACTTTGTCAGTGGCATAGAGCAGGCCATGACGGCTTCTTCAACACAACTACAAAACTTTGTGCTGCCTACCCCAAACTACATTTTCCCATTCCATCTCTAACAAGTCCATCCCGTCCCTCCACTCATATCATGTGATACATGCAGCAGCAAGCACTAAGGTCAAATAAAGGAAATTTTATTATCCTATCTGATTTTTTTACCTTGATACCCTTTCTGTACCTCCATTCATTTCTTCATCTTAAAGGTGGCTCTTGACATTTTTTTTTACTTCTTCTATTTAATAAACACTTTTCCTCATAGCATTCTCTCTCACCATGGAATCTGGAGGGATACTACTAATGAATTTTTAGTCTAAGCAAACACTAACATTCTCTCTTTCCTATTTCAAGGAATTCTTCTAAAGGAGTCCAACCCATGGCCTGCAGGCCACCTGTAGCCCAGAATGGCTATGAATGTGGCCCAATGCAAAATTGTAAAGTTACCTAAAACATTGAGTTTATTTTTGTGATTACATGTCATAATGTATTTAATATTTGGCCCAAGACCACTCTTCTTCCAGTGTGGCCCAGAGATGACAAAAGGTGGGACACCCCGATATTATGCCATTAC